CCCCGAGCCGCGACGCTGAGCCAGCGCACCGGGGCGGGACGCTCCTGGCCCGCCACGGGGCCATGGCTGCGGGCTCGTTCCCAGCCTGTCTGTAGTGTGTGTCGGAGCCCCCAGCCCTCCGCCCAGGGTTAACGCAGGGTGCCCCAGCCCCCGACTGAGTGCGGAGGCCCCCGGCCTCCGGTTCCCCGACACCCGAACCTTCAGCTGCCTCCGACCCGGTGCTTCGGACTTGGGACCGTGCGAGCGCCCAGGAAGCCCCGGCCCGGGTCCAGCGCCCCGTGAGGGGTCCCAGGCAGGCTGGACAGTTGGACTGAACCGGTGTGGGCTGGTGCTGCGAGCCGAAGCCGCCACCTTCCTGCGCCCCAGGCGAGGGGCTCGGCTCCGCAGAGAACACTGGTGGCCCCTCTGCCCCGGTGGCTGGCGAGACCGAGAGCTGCAGGTGAGAGAGCCCCGGATGCCGGCCAGGGGCGGCCTCCCACCCACCCGGGCAGCGCCGGGCCGGCTGCGGGCACGTGCGGGGCACTAGCTGAGGCTGGAACCGGCTAGGAGGCGGCGCGGGGAAGGGAAGGGGGAAGGGAGAAAACCAGCACTTATTGAGCGCCCATTGTGTGTGGGTCCGCGCCCCACCCTTGCGCAAATGGTCCCTCATTTAAGGCTCGCTACTACTCCGTGAGATTAAAGGTGTTGTGTATCGTTATAGGCGCTTACATACGGGAAAACGGAGGCTCAACGGGATTGAGTGACCCTGCTCTTTTCACTCAGGACTGAGACTGGGGAAGAGGGTTAGGGTGGAGAGGGAAAGAAGCAGAGAGTGAAGAGAAAGAGAAAGGAAGTGGATAGCTGCCAGGCAGGAGGGGGTGGGGGGAACGGGTCAAGGTGGGGCCACTGGGGCATCCAAGAGCTGATCCTGAGGCTGGGGAGGTGGCTTCTCCTGGCCTCCTTGCCTTCCACTCCATGGCCATGTCACCTCCCAGGAAAGGTGACCCAGAGTTGAGGGCAGAGGTGGGAAGCTTCCTAGTTCCACAGCTTTTCTCCCTGTGGGCCCAGGAGCAGAGAGCAGCAGCCCCTGGCCCCTGTGTGCCAGACTCCAGGCTCCCTAAGACACTCTGGAGATCCTGAGTCTGCGTATCTGTTGGGGAAACTCAGTGTAGAGGTTCCCAATTGAAAGCCCATCAGAGCTGGAGGAGATGAGGTCCCTCAGCGCTCACCCAGCTCACATCTTTCAAATTACTGACGTAGACACTGAGGCTTGGGGGCAATGTGGGGTGGGAGGTGGGGTGGCAGGGTGAGGTTGAGCCAGAAGTACATAGAAAACCTTCCCAAACACCCTTCAAGGTAGCCAGTCTC